GTTTAAGGGTTTAGGGTTTGATTTGGGTTAGGGTTTAAGGGTTTAGGGTTAAGGGTTTAGGGTTAAGGGTTTAGGGTTTAAGGGTTTAGGGTTTGATTTGGGTTAGGGTTTATAGTCCCCCTTAAGTAGATAGAATATGGGGCATATGGGGATCTTATTATAATGTACCCAAAGCCATATTCTATCTACTTAAGGGGAACTATAAACCCTACTATGGATAATACCAAACTTGGGCCCCAGTGTCTAAATAGTACCTCAATTGGGCTGTTTGGATCCTAAGCGGAAACCGGGTGCCAGGAAGCTAGCAGTAGCAGCAATAAGCTGTATTCATGATTTTTTGTTCCCCCAAGAAATAATTGCCCCGAATTTGTGCAAGCTCCTCTGTAGTGGCCGGGATGTGTTTCTTGTTCTCTTCTGAACCCTACATCCTAGTTCTCTTCTGCCCCTGCAGGTTCGGAAGTGGACGGACGGAGCTTCCGCTCTATGCTCCCTGCGCAGCATGTGGAGCCTTACATCCTCTCAGTTGGCAGTTTTTATGAAGAACGGGACCCCAATACAGAGACCTCCAAAGCCAATTGTCTTTCTTAGAGACCCTAAGCCCTACACCCTAAACCCTATATTCCCTATGTTCCCTCTGAATGGACCCCCTAATTTGGGAAACCCCTATTTGTTTCCCATTGGGAAGGCTCAGGGCAATTCTTGTTAGTGTGGGGATGCTTCGAATGGAGAATGAACATGTTCTTAGGGTTTAAGGCTTTGGGATTTAAGGGTTTTTTTAAAGCGCCTCTTGTACGCCTGCACGAGTCACATCAGGGATTTAAGGTTTAGGGTTCAGGGTTTAGGGTTTTGGGGCTATATACTGGTTGTAAAAAGGATTTGGTTAACCCCAGCCCTGTTTAAGAACGATCCTATAAGAGTCATAGTGTCACAGGGTCCTTATTTCGCGGTTTCCCGGAAACCGAGATCATCCCCTTATCAATACCAGTGAATACATCTGGACACCATGCATCGCACCCCTCAAACCGTAAAAGTTAGATGTGAAACCCCAAAAGCCAAAACCCTAAACCCTAATTACAACCTTGAACGCTAACCCTAACACCTGAAACCCTAAACAAATCTGTAAAAAGGGTAATATCTCAGTGATGTCATTTTGCCTTTGTCAAGTTTGATTCTCCATTCACAGTCATACAACAGTTTATATATGTACACATGTACAAGAAAATAAGTATGGGGTATATCAGACCTTAGCAATGTGGATGTAAGCTTGAAACCACGTCGAACCTAAAACGCGCCTCCAAGACTTATTGTTGCGGAAATCCCTTGAAAACGGGCCGGAGGGATACCCCGGAGATATAGGGATACCTAGGGGTGTAGGCTTCTACAACTTTAGCGAAGTCCCTATGATTTTTCGGGAGGCATAGTGTGGCCTGCATTTTGGCAAAGCCGGAATCGAAGGAATCCTTACAGCCAAAGCCTTATGCACCACGCCATCCCTGCCTGATGGAAGTTTTTGATCCTTCCAGAGAAGACGCCCAGCTCCTGTCCATCTGCTGTCCATTGCAACTGTCAAGCCTGAGCCCAAACCCTAAACCCTACAGTAGTTTCCATTTTTCTGCAGTGCTTGAAGTGCTTTGAATAGCTGCAGGCCTCAAGGTCTGTCATCATGCTCCTTCCCAGGGAGCCAAATACCCCTTAATCAAGGAATATTCCTTGAACCATATTAAATAAAAGAGTTTTCCATAAGATTTAGCACATGTTATTCAGGGTATGAGGAGGTGAGGGTTTTATGATACAGGGAGGGGTAATTTTGCTTGACTGTTGCTGTAACTGACTTTTCTTCAAATGAGTAGCATGCTTTTCGTGGTTACTGCCCATAGCATCCCCAAATACAATGCTACTCAGATGAGTAAGCTAGTTGGTTAAGGCCCATGAGGTGACAATATGTATATCTGCATATATATATATATAACACTGGATTCTCCATTATTTTTTCTGAAGCCCTTACCTTACATATTCTGAACCCTAAAACCTATATGAGCTCTATATAAGGCCTGCATAACCCTACATACGTATATATATATATAGGTAAAAAGAGTAAATACACATATGCCGTATGTATTTATCTACATACATTTCTCTCTCTCTCTCTCTCTCTCTTCCCCCTGAACCCTAAACCCTAAAATGGACATGCAAGACTCCTGCTCTTCAGCGAAACCAGGTGCAGCACCACTCTGGGGGCCAACCAGCCCAGTGGCGTCCTGCTGTTTTGGGCGCTTCGTTTTCAATGTTTTGTCGGGCCTTTCCGGTTTGGGGGGTTTAGGGTCTGGGGGGTTAGGGCTTGACACAGGTATGCAGGGGCACACACACACATAGAGATAAGAGAGGGAGAGAATGCTTTCTTGCTTGGTGTTTAGAAAGTAAGGCTTACTTGGTACCCTGAGGTTCCATGCCCAAAAGTTTGGTCATTGGGATTGCTGCGCTGCAATTGAAGTACAGGTCTTGGGCGGATGTATGATTATTGAATACTTGGAAGCTTAGGGCTTAGTGTTTCGTGAGCCCTTAGTACCACTACCGAGGTTCACGGGGCTTAGTAACTAGGGCCCTTAAAGCGGTTCTTTCCGGGGTGCGATGTTTTGTCTCCAGGAAAAGCCAGGGTATGTTGGGTTCGTTGGGTTTGTTGCTTTCGGAATGATAACCTCAGCGGACAGCAGGTGGGCATATATTGCAAATCACGAGCATCGTCCATGCGGTTGATGAACAAAGTCCTGCACAACCCTGACCCTTTTTGCTACAGGCTTATTCCGCCCGACCGACCCTGAACCCTAGATCCTGAACCCCGTAGATCCAAACCAGTGGATTTGTTATACTATAGCATACTTACGGTCATGCAGGGCTTAAGGTTTCGGGTAGTTCCTGGTTTAGGGTGGGATTTTGTCCATTATCCAGTACCATGGGCGTGCAGACCTGAGGACGTAAAGCGATGGAATATCGATTGCTCGGGCTGTCATTAACACACCCCCCAAAAAAAAACTAAACCCTAATCAATGAGCCGCACCATCCCGCAACCCCTCCTAAGAGTATGCTCTCCTATACATAGTACCATCTTATGAGCCAGAGTAATATATAAGGGATTTTATAGGGGAGTATTATATTGAGTTTAAATGGGATTTTATAGGGTTTAGATTTAAGGTTTTCGGGTCTAAACTCCTTGAAGGGAGATATATAGGGGTGTATGATATGGGCTATTAAGGGGGATACCAGGAGTTGAGACTATGGCTCATATGTCAGGGGATCCAATTTTATGAGGGTGGGAAACTTCCCAGCAAGAGGTGATCTTACAACCCCCTTGCTGATTCAAGGTTGAGGCCATGCTTTGAGGAATACTAGATTACATACCCCCAAACCCTAAGCCCTAACCCGATCCGAAACCCCTAAACCAGTTTGCTTTAGCTCGCGGGGCTGCTCAAGTCCAGGACACTTGGAATTTGAAGGCTATTCCAACCCAACTATGGTGGTGATAGCCCCTTATATGGCTGAGAAACGCTACACCCTAAACCCTGGGGCAGCTTACCTGAATTTCCAGGCCAACTAGTCATGGTTCGAATGATCTCCCATCGCTCATTGGACTGTCCATCTGCAACTGCTGTCAGCGAATAGCCTAGACCCAAACCCTTCACCCCAAATCCTAAACCCCAAACCCTAAACCCTTAACCCTGAACCCCAAACCCTAAACCCTTAACCCTAAACATTAAAACCCCAAACCCTAAGCCCTTTATGCGGCTAAGTCACCTGTAGGTCGCGGCCTGCAGAAATTAATGTATGAACTTGCAATGGGCTGTGAGCAAGGAGGTGTCGGGTGTAGGGCTTAGGGTTTGGGGTTTAAAGTTTGAGGTTTAGGGTTAAGGGTTTGGGGTTTGGAGTGAAGGGTTTGGGTTCATGGTTTCGTGAAGGCTGTTTGGAGTTTTTTTGTGTGGTAGTTTCCATAAATAAGGGGATGCCAGTATAGACCGCCAGATACTTACTATGGAGACCCACAAAAGGGACCGCTGGCTTATGGAAACCCAAATGCGGTTTACATGCAAGAGTCCTACGCAGAAAGCCCAATATCCCTTACTTAGTAGAAATATACCAAGTACGAGGATTCCTAATATGATCTACTTACTTGCTCTTAGGAGGAAATAAGGAACATAATCTCTATACCATCCCTAGATATTCTATTCCGTTGTTCCCTACTAAGGGAACAACTAAGTTTACACACACACTAAACCCTAAACCCTAGGCCTTAAACCTTTACCCTAAACCCTGAACTCTAGGATTTCTGGGTAGATCAGCACCCTGCCTTGCAGTCGGCCATTGTGGAGGAAGGCTTGAAACCTGAGTAAAGGGCTAGGGTCTTTAGGGCTCTAGGGTAAGGGTTTAGGGTTTAGAGCTCCAAGCTTACTGGTGGTTAGTAGGGAAGGAAGCAATATATGATATATGAAAAAAGGTTGTAGGAAATGAGTAGATCCATATGATATTCCCGTCTTCCCTACTAACCACCTGTAAGAACCCCTCCCGCCCCAAACTTGAAGGAACAAAGCGGGGGTACGACCTTAGCGGTACAAGCCTGCAACTGCCCCGCCTGAAACCCTAAAACCTAGAACCATAACCCCTTGAATCCTAAACCCTGAAACCCCAAACCCAGCAACCCTAAAGTAGCCTACCTGGAAGAAAACTTAAACCCTAAACTCTCGATCAGGCGAACCAGGGAACTTCACCTCCTGGCCGACTTTGAACTCCCCCACATGCCTTCAGCTTGCTGGTTGTTAGTAGGGAATGGGAACACCAAATGGAAATGGACAATGGAAACTTGGAGGCTATAGGGATATGTAGGGTTCAGGGTCTAGGGTGGTTAGTAAGGAAAGGAGGAATGGAAGGAACACTGGGAACTCTCATGTGATTAGAAATCGGTACTAGAGGGAGCCATTTAACTGAACCAATTTCCCTACGTCTCAAGGCCTAGATATCAAGGTCCCTAAGCCCTAAACCCTCTATTCATCAGTGGCCAGTCAAAATGGTCAAGGCCTGCCGAATCCTTTTAGGCGTGAGCTTGGGACAGAATCAACCTAGGTTTAGGGATTTGGGTTTACGGTTTAGGACACAGTGATGTTTACTGGTGTTTAGGGTTTAGATTTCCCCGCTAACCTCTCAATAACACGGGCACCCCTTTTTCTACGGTGCTGCTTTGCTTAGGAGACCCCAAAAGAAAAAGGGAAACACGTTATGACTGGGCGTACCTAGAACAAACTACTGGGTTGGAACTAAGTAGGGAGGGTTTGAAGGATCCATCCCCCTCAAAGCGTGAGCAAGTCAACAAGTGCCTCCAAACCCTAGATCGCGTTGTCCCATGGAAGAGTCGGGGCTACCATAGCTAATCATGTCCCCCTCCCTAGGCCAAAACAAATCCCCCCTTGATATATACAAGGGAAGAGATTTGGGAAACTACTCTTTTGGGGTTTAGGCCTTTAGGGTTTGGGGTTCAGTGCTAACATCAAAACCGCAGCCCCCGTAAGATTGAATAATTCTCAAGGTATCATAGTACACGACAATGGAAATCTGCAATGCTCCATGTAATGCCTATAAGGCTCCTATGGATCTGACCCTCAACCCTAAACCCTCAACCCTGAATCCCAAACCCCAAACCCTAAACCCTAAATCCTAGACTTACCCTAAATCCTATAAACCCTAAACCCTTAAACCTTAAATCCTCAACCCTAAACCCTAAACTGGCGAGAGCGCCGCTGACCATAGACATGGGCGCTCGGGGTTTCTGGGACAGGCCTCCAGCCTGGCACCAGAAGCTGCGGGCTTGGGAAGCCAGCACCACCCCCCCGACGACCCCCTCCAGGATTCCCGGGCCAGCCTTCCAAGCTTTTCAGGCCAAAGGCCTTTTTGTCAAATTCCCAAATTTCTTTGCACTGGCAAATGCTTTGTAGGCCTCATCCTGTACACCAAGCCAAGAGATCCTCGTGTGGAGGCCGGCCATGCCCCTATGCGTTGCTCAAATATTGTGTACCAGTGCTTTCTGTGGCGGCGACGAGAAGTGAACAGCAGACCTGCGGGAAAAAAAGAACGAGGAAGCCCCCTTGCTAGGGGGGTTTGGGGGGTAGGAACCCACACCCTAAATGAGCATAGTTTGGGTGGCTGGGGTGGCACCACTACGCTGCGCAAGCACGCGGTAGGCGCCCCTAACTCTAAAGAAAAGGCGCACACCCCGCGCGCGTCCACTGATGCAAACCCTAAACCCTAAACCCTGAATCCTAAACCTTAAATCCCAAACCACTCTGGCCCCAGCCTGCTATTCAGGTAGACATCGCCCTCGTGCTGCTGCTTAAGAGCATCGCATGCGATGAAGCCGAAGCCTAGAAAGCTGACAGATTTAGGGTTTAGGGTTTAGGACCCAGTCCCCTGAATAATGAACTCCATCCCCTCAGTAGGGATTATAATGGGGATTCCAATATTAAGGCCCTTAAAAGGAGCGGGGTTATTAATCATGGGTCTACATTAAACCCCAAACAAGGCTTAGGGCTCTAAACCCGAAACCTCGGGGTTTGGGGTTTAGGGTTTGGGGGCTTAGGGCTTCAGGCTTGTGAGGGACCCATAGGAGGGACCCCCAATGCCCTAATGCCATTTGCTTTACATAACCAGATGGTCGAAATATTTCCCCCCTATCAGCAACACAACAGGGGTCACCTCTTCTGCAAATTTAAGTGCCCCCCCACAGAATCACACCTGAAGGTCCTGGCCTCAGAATTTTGCATCTGGTTATGTCATGAGATTGAGAGAAGAAGTTCTTCCTCGGCATGTGCATGATATGGGTTTACGGTTTAGGGCTTAGAGTGCGATATTTGAGGGTCCTTACCTACACAAATTACTCTGAACAGATCGACCTCAATGGTGAGGACATCTCCCATAACTATCAGACTCCACGCGGTTTAGGGTTTAGGGGTCCCGAACCCGCGAGCCTTTCTCGGGGTTGTAGCTCTTTATGATCCCGTAGAACTCGCCCAGGACCTGTTGCAAGCCAGCACAGCTCAAGCTTTAAGCCTGAAGCCTTAAACCCTACTTCGGGAGCACAGTACCCTTAGATTCGTGGAATATTCCTTAAGCCATTAAAGGATCCTAGTAGAATTTTAGGCATATTCGTGAATGAAGCGATCTTGGGCTTTCTAGGATGTGGCCTGCATAACTCTATGTAAGCCGCCTGTGGATTTAGAGGATCAAAATACCACATAAGAACTTCTGTAAGATCTACTGCCTGATCCCTCCTGGGTTGTTGCGTCGGAGCTTAAGCTAAGCTACCATAACATGAGCTTGAGGCAAAGAGTAGGGTTTCCTTCGCAAGGTAACATGAACTGATGCTAAGTAGTAGGGTTTGCTTACCAAGGTGATATGAAAATGTGGACAGCAATAAGGTTTCCTTACCACAGTAACTTCGTTTGAGTTCCACAAGCCTCTTTCTGGCCCCAGTTTGCATGTGCCATTTTCTTTGCATTTTCTCATTTTCTCATTGTGGTAGTTGCAATGTAAGTTCCTTGGCTCCAAGCCCTAAACCGTAAGCCCAAAACTCTAAACCGCAACTCCAGGAACCTCCTCATTGGCTTTTCCACCGCCTTTTGATCCTGGCGGACCACCCATACCACCCATCGGCGGATTCCTCAGAGATCTGCTTCTAAGCAGGAAATGGTGGTTCAGGGGTGACTTGGGTTCACGGAAGCCATAAAGTAAATTTAACTTCCACTAAAAATGAAGAGCATCATGCCCATCATGTCTCCACCGCCCATGCCATCGCAGCTGCCCATGCCGCAGCCGCCGCAGCCGCCGCAACCACAGCCGCAGCCTCCGCAGCCACAAGCCATACCACAGCCGTCGCCACAGCCGCAGCCGCCGCAGCCGCCACAGCTGCCGCAGCCGCCACAGCCGCCGCAGCCACAACTCCCCATCCCACAACCCATACCACAGCCGGGCCCCATGTCCCCCATAGAGGGCATTCCACCACAGCCCATGCTGCAGCCCATCTGGACACCATTCATTCCGGTCTTGCAGTCTATTAGGTCAAAAGCCTGTGGCTTGTTCTCCTCATTCAAGGTCACAGCAAAGTTGACCTCTTGTCCTAAGCTGTGGCGCTTCCATCAAGAAATGACTGGCATTGCATGGTGCTCCTGGAAGAAACGTGACGTGCTTAGAATCAAAATCAAAAGGCTGATTCCCTACCCTTTTCGCGGAGGTAAAGCAAAAAACAACGACAAGATCTCGCGAAGCACGCTGTGTTTAGGAATGCTATTCCATGTTTAGTCCCCTTTAAGTAGATAGAATATGGCTTTGGGCATATTCGAATAAGATCAGAATATGCCCCATATTCTATCGACTTAAGGGGGACTATAAGTGCGCTGTCACCCTTCGCTGTAACGACCGGGGGCCACGCCTTCCACAAAGCCCGCAACTTGCAATGCTTTGACCATGACGTCGCACCCGAAGACCTGTGGAGGGCGAGTCGTCGCATGCGCGAGATTACATACTTAAATCCAAATCTTTCCACAAAGCCCCAAAACCCTAACCCCTAAGCCAAGACATGGCCCTAAACCCAAACCCGAAACCCCAAAATTCAAGACTTGGCCCTAAACCCAAACCCTAAACCGGGGATTCCAATGGCGAGCGGCAGCGCTAAGCTCTGGGCACATGATGAAGCCCATGCCCATCGCCTAGCTAGGTTTAGGGGTTTAGGTCCCCAATCCCAGAATGAGGGCTTAGGGTTTAGGGAAGGAGTCAGATGATGCTGATATAGGGTCCTTATTTTGGAGCGGGCTACCAAAATCCCCTTATCATCATGCAAGCCTTGGAGGGCTCACCCGCGTGCCTTGATACACAGATGGGGGATTGTCAAAATTATGGTCCCCTTTTGGGTACCCTGAATATTCGGTGCCGTCATTACAATAGGGATCCAAAAAGGGACCATAATTTTGAGAACCACCCAGATAGGAGATTCCGTAAACATGAGCCCCTCTCGTGCTCCAAAATTTTCTAATGCAGGAAGTTCTAAAAAGTGATTCCAGACTTCTGGAAAGCCTAGCCCCTATGCATCCCTAAAACATCCCTCTGAGCCCTGTAAAGGCCCAAATCGATTGAAAGCGAAGAGGGGGACTAACTCTGGCGCGGTCCCCACCCTGGGTTGCAAGCTAAACGTGCCAACTGTCCCACTGATACGGGGAATTTGGTTTTGGGTTTAGGGTTCAGGAAAGTTGGGAACCCCAAGCTTCAAAGACAAAATCAGGTGCGCATAGTTCTGACATAGTAACACTGGGGTCCTAACTACAGCGGTTGGGGTTACCAAAGCCCTAGCCCCCAAACCCTGCACCCTAAATCAAGTGATCGGTTACTGCAAGCATCAGGGCAACAAAGATTCGGGTGTAAGGCCCTTTCTGAGTGGCTTTCCAGACTTGTACAGTTCTACCCTCATATTAGATCCTAAGACTCAAACGGAAGGGAAAAGGGAGAACACCCATGCAAACTGAGGTTAAAGAAGGATATGTGGGGTTTAGGGTTCATGATGGAGAACCAAATTGAAAAGAACATGGACGGTGAATGGGAAACTGGGAATATAGTTGGGGGGGCGTATGTGTGTCTGTTTGCATGCATGTATTTATTTACACATATCGTAGAGCACTGCGTATGATCCAAAAAGTGGCTACATGATTTCGACACATGCGATCTCGTATAGAGCAAGCGCAATATGCTACTCAGTTGCTTCCCGCGCACTACAAATCTTGTAAAACAGCTCATCATCATGTACGGCAACGTGGCCTATGCCGAATTTGGTTAGGAGCCAATTGCACAATTATAGTCACCCTCAAGTAGATAGAACATGGGGTATAGAAGGATGTTTAATTAAATGCCCAAAGCAATATTCTATCCACTTAAGGAGGACTATGGGCTCTTGTACTTAACTAAAAAGTTTCGGAACCCAGGGTCAGGAGCAAGTTCGGGGTAAGGATGATGACTGGGGCAAGTGTGTCGGCCCTATAGAGCTTGCAATTATTCGCGGCTTTACAATGATTCGATGGGGATTAAGGGTAGCAAAAACAGACTTTCCAACCTAACTACTCCTGACGAGCCCCATAAGCACCATAAACCCTATAAGCCTCATAAACCCCAAGGCCCTAAATCCTAAGCCCTACGTAAACCATGTACCCTACACGCTGAGCCCTAAACCAACCAAGGGTTTAAGCTCTAAACCTATCCCTGACGAGCCAAGGCCAGCGCCGGGTTCAGCTTCCCTATGGTGCCCATGCAGCGCTTCTCCTGTGTAGCTCTTGCGGAACTGAAAGTAAGTTACCATAGTTAGTTCATACATACATATGTACATATATATATACAGGGTTTAGGCTTAGGGTTTAAGTTTTCATAGGTATACATAGTAAATCATATGGTTCCCCCTTGTAAGAAACTAATTTGAGAGACCCCATAAACCTTAACCCTTAGTCCTAAGCGTCTCCTTATAATTGTAACTTAAGTTAGGTTCCTAAACCCTCAACAAAGTTCCTTAAAAGCAACCCAGTCTCGGTCAGGCCCTTGCTTGGTGCGAAGGTCAAGTCGGGGACGCAGACCTGGGCTTAGCGTTTGGGCTTGAGAGTTTAGGGCTCAGGCTTTAGGCCCTAGTGTTTTTTTTGCGCAAGGTTTAGCCTTTGGGGTCTAGAGTCCAGGGTTCGGGGTTTAGGGCTGAATTAATGCTTCAGGCTTAGGGGCTGCGGGTTTAGGAGCTGTTCAGGGCCTCCGACCTTCTGCGCAGACCCCCTAAAGGATCCACAACATTGAACCCCCGAAAAAGGACTCCGTAACTGCAGTGAGGAACCTATAGGTTCATGGTTTAGACACGCGCATCGCACACTGCAAGCTGCAAGCACGGCAGAAAACGTTCAGGTCGGCACTTCACCAGTACCGGTTTAGGGTTCAGGGTTTAGGACAAAACCCTAAATTTCTTGGGATCCTGTATGTCGGGGGCCTGAGTCCGCACTCGACCACACACATGCATCCCTCAAATAGGGTATAGGGTTTAGGCCTCTCCAGTATATCAAGTGTTCCCTACGTACGAACCAAACATAGCCCTAAGGGTCCAAGGACCCAAATAATGGGGTTTTATGGCCCAAATACCATTAATGTAATAGTATTTGGGTCATAAAACCCCATTATTTGGGTCCTTGGACCCTTAGGGTAGATCATAAAATTAATAAGCTGGCCTGGGAATCAATACCTTGGGATCGCACATATGGGGTCTGCACGGAGCGGCCAAGACACGCCTGCGGTCTTAACAAGCTACGTTTAGTGCGAGCAACCACAAAGCACGTATACCAACTGACATCTTTATGGACAGTCCGTCCCTTTGAAGAATCTTTCAAGCAGTTATGGATTCCCCTATGGCCCCACCCTTTGCAACTTGCAACCCCCTATCTTTTAAGCTGTAGTCATTTTAGGATCATTATGGAAAATTAAGGGGGAGTCCAGCAGTTGTATTCTGGAGCGGGGGAAATCCTAAACCCTTCAACCCTAAACCCTAAGACACTAAACCCT